GAGAGCGCTGGGGGCGGGGTCGAGCCTGGGGGCGTGGCCGGGCAGAGAGCGCTGGGGCGGGGTCGAGCCTGGGGGCGTGGCCTGGCAGAGAGCGCTGGGGGCGGGGTCGACATGGGGCAGAGCGCGTTGGGGGCGGGGCCGGGCAGAGAGCTCTGGGGGCAGGGGCGGGGCCTGGTGGAGGGCCCTCGGCGGGTGGGGCCTGGCCAAGGGCGCCCAGGGCGGGGCCTTGGAGGCGCTTACAAATGATAGGCATGTCTGTGGGCGGAGCGCTCTGCCTGGTAGGTGGGGCGTCTGGGCGTGGCCTACAGTTGGGTGGGCGTGGTTTAGTCGGGCCTCAGGGCGGGGTACACTGGAGTCCAAGGGGAGGACTCCGACGGGTGGGCGTGGTCTAGTGGGGCTCCAGAGGGGGTGGGCGGGGCCTAGGGCGGGCGCGCTTCGCTGAGCGGTGGGGACCAAGGCTTTAGCCTGGGCTGAGCGCCTGGAACTGCAAACCCCGGGCTAGGTGGCGATGGTGGGGACTCAGGCCAGGACGGTCCCTAGCTCTGCTCTTAGCCCTGTGTCCGCCGCCCCCAGGAAGCCAACTACTACGGCTCGCTGACCCAGTCCGGCACCGTGAGCCTGGGCCTGGATGCTGACGGCCGGGAAGTGTTCGTGCCCTTGCGTGCAATGTTGCCCATGGTGGCGCCAAACGACCTGGTTTTCGATGGTGGGCGGGGCGGGGGGCGGGGGCCGGGGTCCCCTGGTCTCCTGGTCCGGGGCTGAGTCGAGCGCGAGGGTCCTTGCCCTCCCTCCCCCAGGCTGGGACATCTCGTCGCTGAACCTGGCGGAGGCCATGCGGCGTGCGCAGGTGTTGGACTGCCACCTGCAGGAGCAGCTGTGGCCGCACATGGAGCGCCTGCGCCCCCGGCCCTCGGTCTACATCCCCGAGTTCATCGCCGCCAACCAGAGCGCGCGCGCCGACAACCTGATCGCGGGCTCGCGCGCCGAGCAGGTGCTGGCCCTGTCCCCGGCCCCGCAGCCCCGGCCCGCTGCCCGGGCCTGTGCGACCCCGCCCTCCCTCCCCAGCTGGAGCAGATCCGCCAGGACATCCGGGACTTCCGGGCCGGCGCAGGGCTGGACAAGGTCATCGTGCTGTGGACGGCCAACACGGAGCGCTTCTGCGACGTGGTTCCAGGACTCAACGACACGGCCGAGAACCTTCTGCGCACTATCCAGGTGGGCGCGGGGCGGGGCGGGGCCGGGCGGCCTGCCCGGGCTTGGCGCTGACCGCCGCTCTCCCCCGCTCTCCCCGGGCCGCAGCTGGGCGGGGAGGTGTCGCCGTCCACGCTCTTCGCCGTGGCCAGCATCCTGGAGGGCTGCGCTTTCCTCAATGGGTCCCCGCAGAACACGCTGGTGCCTGGCGCACTGGAGCTGGCCGCGCGGCATCGCGTGTTCGTGGGCGGCGATGACTTCAAGTCCGGCCAGACCAAGGTCAAGTCCGTGCTCGTGGACTTCCTCATCGGCTCCGGCCTCAAGGTGCGGGGCCGGGGGTGGGCGGCGCAGTGCGGGAAGGCGGCCGCGGGGCTCCGCGGGCCTAGCGGCCCCCCGGGGGCTGTGATCACCGCAGACCATGTCCATCGTGAGCTACAACCACCTGGGCAACAACGATGGGCAGAACCTGTCGGCGCCGCAGCAGTTCCGCTCCAAGGAGGTGTCCAAGAGCAACGTGGTGGACGACATGGTGCACAGCAACCCCGTCCTCTACGCGCCCAGCGAGCAGCCGGACCACTGCGTGCGTGGGGCGCGGGCGGGGTGC